AGACCAAAGATGGTGACACTCTCGAGCATGTTACACTGTTGGTCTCAAGCCACTACAAAGGCACTGTCGACAACTACGGTGCTCATTGATTTCGAGAATTTCTCAACCGATCTTTTCTGGCGACCAATTTTAACCCATGTGGTTGTTGGACGATATTCATTGAGACCCGATACCAAACAAACGGACTGGACGTCCAAAAATACTTGAATCGTCCACGGAGGATAAAAAAACCGTATTGTAATGGTAGTAGAAGTAGTAGTATTGAAGTTACGCACAGAATTCAGGACACGAACTACGCAATAGGAATCACGGAACACGAATTAGAAAACCGATGGCACTGGACCGCAATGGCTCGAACTCGCAATAACCCGCAGGATCGAGACGCGAGGGAAAAGGCCACAAGACAGGCGAATCACAAAGTCGTTTATTGAAGGAAATGAAAGTGAATATATATGTACACAAGAAAACATCATTGGCTACCTTAGTTTCCACCAATAATATTGCATCACATCTTGCGTCATATTGCTCTTTTCTGCATTGTATCTGATTGGCTGGAACGGTGCACCAATGACGTGTATCCGGAGACTGTGCACGCGCTACTGGCGTCAACGCTCAAGGTCGATNGAAACTGTACCGCGCTGCTCCAAGGCAGGCGTGATCTCGTAGATCCGAATCACCACACGTATGCAACGTTTCTTCGCGAACGACACAACGAACACTTGAAGTAGTCACCTAGCTAAAGTATATGTTGACAATGCGCGTAACTATAACAAGGTAAAAACAGAAAACGTTTACTGCCGGTAGAAATAATGTAATAATACAATATAATATGATATAATATAGCAAACCAAGTGTCTGGATTCTCTGGTGTTGTTATGCTAGCAACCTCTGCTTCTTATATAAACACAGATGCTGGGAAAAGGAACTGCAAACGCCCTCGAATCAGACTGCGCGCAGACCAACGAGAGAAACCATGCTGCTTCAGATCAACTGTCACCCAATAAACGATATACACACACACACACACACACACATTAAATCGCTTTATTTAGACAAACTGAGAAAATAAATTTTCATGTCAAAAATATCACTTCACTGAACTCAACACAGTTTTCAATGTTCTTTGAGCATCACTCATTCATTCATGTATCGACCCATCGTCCCAAATCGGTTGGGACTATTGGTCGTCCTGCACAGGACGTTCGTGTTGGCCGGGTCGTTGATTATGAATTATAGCAGATTATTATTATCGTTTCAATGTGGACTTGCTTTCAATTAGTACACCCCCATGCATACTTATATTCCGATACGCGAAGTGCATAGTAGCGCATCGTTGAGCATCCGATCGACTTACACTTAATCCAAGTAGCCCAGAGTAATGTTTTATTTCACACACACACACACACACACACACACACACACACACACACACACACTTGACGGACAGTTTACCAAGTAACCGAGCAAGAGAGTGAAGAGTTAAGGTGTGCAGATCCTTCGCTTACATTATAGTGTTAGACTTGAAAGGCGTTCCCACAGTAATCAGAGTTCACCATAAGTTAACGGTATTAAGATTTGAAAGATCACCCAAATTCAGCCGGTCTCGGGTCGGTGTTAATGGGAATTCAATGTCCTTATGGGAGCAGCAGTTACAATGATGAACGAAAAACGTGGAGTCCGGAAGAAATTACGTCAAAAAGTTCTCGCAACTGACAGCTCGTGTGACGCTGTTGAGCCGGATCAAAACTGGGACACTCGGAGAGCCATTGGTTACAGCGACATTCTCACGCGTTCGCAATCAGGTGTGTCAAGCGATCTGTGCCGAATTATACATATGATTGAATCCAAATCACGCGGCCCTCAGCTGACATCCCACCTTGTTTGTGTGAGGACTGTAAGTGCGTACACACCAAATCACGTGTTCCCCTGCACTCGTGGTGTGTTGGATTCATGACATACTGGTTAGAAAGGTGATTGGTCAATTGGGCGCGCGGTGAGACAGACGCATGTGATGTGGATTGGTCAACACGACAAGGTTGGTGTGTCGTGCTGTCCATAGTCGGTGTGCGCGCAAGCCAGCACTAGAGCAAGCCAGATCGCAACGAAGTTGGTTTAACTGCTGGTGCTCCGCTGGTTCTATCTGTGCTGAAACCAAGCTATGGATTCAGGTGCGCCGAGTAGCCCAAGTGAGAAGACTGTGCTGAACGACTACTGCATTCATGCGTCATCTGTACGGCTGCCATTCCTGGCAGCCGGCTTAGTGAATTCAGCCGTTTCGGTGTTACTCGCCCAATTATCCACACGATTTTTTGAACTCGCCCTGCTAGATGTTCAGCCCACCTTATCTGGCACTGCTGACGCACGAGAAGAAGCCCCACATTCCGTTTCCAGCCAGTCGACAGGCGATGCCGATGAAATAGTGTTGACCAAACCAGAACCGGTGGAGTGTGTCACACAAACCGGACACCCCAATGTAACTGCACAGGCAGTAAATGCAACAAATGCGGAAATTCCAACAACATCACCAGTTCAGTTGTTGCGTGTTAAAGAAGAAATGGATTGTGCTCTGTCTGCATTTCTGACCAATTCCACATTGGAACCGCTACGGCTTCCGGGCCAACCAATCAGTGGGATTGGTGCAACAACAGCAACAACAACGGCCACTTCAGCGGGAACTTTTGACATCACCAATCCAAGTTTAACCACTCCGGCCACCTCACGAATGACCACAGTGGATTTTATGCATCGTTACTACTGCAATCATCCCGGTTGTGGGAAAGTATTTTTCAGTCGAAGCAGTTTTGTACATCACAAGGAAAGTCACGGTGTGGTCAAACCGTTTCGTTGTTCATTTACCGGTTGTAATATGACTTTTGCCAATCAGGCATTGTTGTTGGCTCATTTGTGCACACATGATCCATCTAGATTACGCAATCAGTACGCGTGTAACTATCCGGAATGTGGAAAAGTATTTATCTGTCACGATCGTCTCTTGGAACACATCCGTATCCATACAGGTGAACGTCCGTACGTGTGTGACTATCCCGGATGTTCGTATCGTTTTGCACGTCGTGGCAACCTGTTTGCACACAAACGTGTCCATCTGGATAAGACTCAGCGTCGTCAATACCACTGTATTCAACCCGGTTGTGGTAAGACATTTTTGTACATGCGCAGCTTGACAGAACACATGAATGTGCACATGGGCGAGAGACCGTACGCGTGTGATTTTCCCAATTGTGGTAAACGATTCACGAGCAAGAGCTATTTGCATGCACATCGCCGCATCCATTTGCGTTCGCCCTCGACCAGTACTTACCATTTGCCCCAAGATAGTGGTTTCAACCTGACCCCCGTGCCGATTACCGTAACTGTCCCCGTACCGCCAAATTCTCAGCCAAACACTGTGACATTCCCCCCGGCAAGCCAATCGGACACTTTTGTCATGTCTTATCCGTGCTACCCGGATCATCCAATGTGATTGCTGCATTGCCCACCTCATATCTGCGACGGGCGGAGAGAGAGAGAGCGGATAGTGATGAGACAATTTGCTCGTCTCTACTCTTGTTTCTTGATCTCTTTTCTTGGCATTTACCGAACGCTCGCTTATTTTTGCCTATTCCCTGTGTTCCGATTCCCGGCTACCGCTACCGCCTGTGTATATACAAATTTTTAATTTGCCCCCTATTGACTTGGTTTTTCCTTGCGGTTATAGTGCCAAATAGTTGGTGGATGCGATCGGATGGAATGCCCCGTTTACAGGCGAGCGCACAGTCCCAAATGAATGAATTTCCGTCAGATACCGTGGCTCAAGAGTTTTTCTTGGTGTATAACTAAATCAAATGCAGTTGTTCACTTTCCAAATCATACTGAGTTAGACGATGTTATGGAACCAAAGATGCTTTTCTAGTGGCTGTCTCAATCATCGTTTCGTTTCTGCTCGTGGGGTTCGTTCCGGGTCTGGTTCGTTGTGCGATCGATAGCGAACAGTTTTTTTTTGTTTGTGTTTCTCATACCTTTCTTACATCTAAAGATACGCCCAATGTGGTAAACTGTATTTAGGGCATCCAGGTGTACTAATTAAGTACATTTTATGTTCCGTATCCTCAGGGTCGGGTTGGATTGAGCAACAATAGTCTCTGGTTCGAAGGTTACCTGTTATTCGGTTGAGTGGTAACCGCGAGGGGGGATTTACTATGACAACTGTGGACAATAAGTAGGTTATCATTTAGCCACCAAACCGCTGGTGGCCATCACTTTTCGGTCAGCTGTTCACAACAGCTATTATCACTTTTGAATTACATTCAAATTGAGATTTGTAATCTCATTAAGGGCACGACTATTTCACCTGATTGTTACCTCAAGGTAAACAGATTCGCGTTCCTGTTGCGTTTGAAAGTCCCCCCCCCCCTC